GGGGGGGTTCCATATAAATTATAGACAGACACCAAAATAATAAAATATTTTTTTTTGTTTTTTAAATTATCAAAGACGCGTGGAAAGCTTCAATTTTACTTCAATAATATTGTTGGACGTCGTTGGCTGGAATCATTTTCCATAACCGTAATTGTTTAAAACTGAAAAATAATATTTACGAAAGTTAATATCACGTCATTTAACATTCATGTACAATGTACGATTTCTTGTATTAGAAACCTTAAATAATTGAGTCAAAATAAAATATAAATGTCGACATAAAAAGGTATACTATAACATATTTGTATAATAAAATTACGTAAGTTTCTGGTATCTATTGGCTTGGTGCAAGAAGGGCTAAAAAATAATACCAAAAATGAATATTATTGGGAAATTAAATATAAAAACACGCCCATTTTTAATATAAAACTTATTGAAAATATAAACTCATTTTCATAAAAATGAAGCGCTCAATCATAATGTTATTATTCATAATATATTTGYCATAACTAAATCTAAATTATCAAATTAAATTTTGGATAATGTTTTAAGCAAATTTGAAAAAAAAACTAATAATTCACTATGTGCACACTGTAGTTTAATATTTTGTATATATATAATAATAATACGTTGGCTTCAAAAGTTATTTATAACGTAAAAACAGCAAAAAATAAAATAAAATATAGATGTGTTGTATCTATAAAATTGTTGATTATAAAGCTTTTAGAGTCTGAGCACAGCGCACGTCAATGCAGATAATATATTTTCTTAGACGTTTGACTAGGTAGATCCATGGTAGAATTATTGCAGTGGGATCAAGAGAGAAATTCGTACAAGGACGAAATTGATTATATAGATTTGAAGTTTTTGAATTAATATTAATGCCGTTGATCGAGTCTGGACTTAAATCTTCTGCGGCGAAYTTGGGCCATATTTACACGAATGATCCATTATTATTTAAATTATTCAAATATTATATGATAGTATAATATTACATTATAATTACACGTACTATATTATTATGTTTTTGTGTACATACTAACTATATATTAATGTATAATACGTACCGTTAAATTCTTTTTCAACTGTCACCAGTAGTTCATGCCATTGAGGTCCAGTAATACGAGGTACGTCCAACGTGCCACCGTAGCATTCCGGTAAACATGGTTGGTATAGGTGTTTGTGCAAAGACACTCGGTCGGTACCGTGGAAGATGATCTGTAACCATTTTAAAATATTTTATTTTCATTTGTTATATGGTATAAGTATTACACGACAACGTTTAATGTTTATATGGTTGGCAAACTATCACTCTTGAGAATATTATATTATTCTTTCTCCCTCCATATAAAAAAARTGAATCTCACCCTCGACCGCAGTTTTTCCCTCAGGAATGGTTTGAAGAAGTTGAAGACGACGTTAAACAGAATCGGTTGGTTGACGATGTGGATTCCTTTGATCCTCGCAGGAACACTGTCCTGAAAACGACGTAAACACGACAGTATTATTTACTTATTTTCAATATGTAAGATGTGTTTTTGGATAGAACGAATACGCACGTATTCTCCATCAACACACTCAAATATAATTATTTCATAAGGGATACAACATTTGATCATTATTGATTGTTATTGTCGAAAAAATATGAATGATGTAAAAATCAAAACCTATATTTACGCTTTTAATTTAATCACTTGCGCCTATTGGGTTTTAACAGAAAATTATAACCTAATGTGTTATGTACCATTTATGCAGCTTCAAATTTATGAAGAACATTGAATCTTATGGTTCCATATTTCATTCGAATC